CCCCCCCCCCCCGGTTTTTTTTTTTTTTTTTTTTTTTTAATTCTTGATTATAGCTGTTCTTTCCAGAGTAAGATGGCATTTTGGAGTGCTTTTGATTTATATTCCCTTTTTATTCTTTATTTTGAGACAGGGTCTCACTAAGTTGCCCATGCTGGGCTCTCACTTGGAACCCTCATGCCTCAGCCTCCCAGAGTGCTGGGATTATAGGTGTGCACCACCACACCTGGCAAAACTAAAGTTCTTTTGCTTTTTGTCACTAGATTTTGCGCTGGCTTGAAACCCAGTGCATGGCACCGCTCTACCCCTGAGCCGCGGTGCTCGCCCATGATACTCTTAGTGCCTGTGGCCGAGTGATCAGCAGACAGTGCACTTGTGTTTCTCAGGAGGCCTTGGAAGACACCTGCTCATGTGGGCTTAGCGGGTTCTGTGGTGTTGCACCCTGCACATGTCTAATTTAATCAGCCCGGGAAGTCGGGAGAGCGTCGGGTGCCACCGGCAGCAGGGGCTGACGCAGTTTGGCCTGTGGGTTTTTGCTGCTCAGGAAGGGCAGACCCCAGGCTGTGCCAAGGACGCCGTCCCTCCGCTTACTTCCCCACCACTTCTCTCCCGCAGGGACCATGGCCCAAGTCGCAGTGCCCACGCTGCCCCTGGATGACGCGGAGTCAGAGAGCAGGATGGTGGTGACCTTCCTCGTGTCTGCCCTGGAGTCCATGGTGAGGCAGCCTGGGGTCCTGTGACGCGTCACCCACATCACTCGCTCACACGGCCCTCAAGAGACGCTGGGCTTCTCAGCTTATTACGTACTTTGTTTTTTTCCCCCACTACTTGGGACTGAACCACGGCCTTCACACTGAGCTCCATCGTTGACCTCTTACATTTAAAAATTTTAAGACTCACTAAATAGAGTGACTCACTTAAGGGTCTCACTAAATTGCCCAGACTGGGTTTCCACTTGGGTCAGCACCGTCAAGAGCCAAGACCAGAGGCGTGGCTGGAGCTGGTGCGCAGGAATGTGGTGGATGCAGACAGCAGGGCAAGAAGGAGGCTTCCCGCAGGCCGGCAGAGCAGGTCGGGAAAGTCCTCCCACACCCTCATAACAGCAGGGCAGCGGGACCTGTTCGTGGGTCTGTAGAGCGTAAGCCTGCAGCACTGCCATAGGCGCCTTCCACATCGCTGTAGGAACCACTATAGAAGAGACAGAAGTCCCCTCTCCATAGAACATGACAGCACAAAATTGATGGCCATCCGAGGTGGCACAAGCCTGTGACCCCAGCACTTTGGGAGGCTGAGGCAGGAAGGTCACTACAAGTTCTAGGCCCGCATGAACTACAAAGCCAGACATACACATAAATAAAGGGCTGGGATGTAGCTCAATGCAAAGGCCCCAGGTTCAATCCTCAGGACAGCAAACAAACAAATCCTTTCCTTGTTGGTTTTTTCTTTTATTTTGTCCTCGGTGGTGGTGCTGGGGATTGAACACGGGCCTCGTATATGCTAGGCAAGCCTGCTGGCACTGGGCTACGCCCCCAAATGAATAAACGAATGACTGCCCCACACAGTCTGCACCACACAGACCGGAGAGGGTGTGAGGCAGAAACAAACACATGTTCTTCCCTGGGTTTTGTGGTGTTTATGGTATTTACCTGGTCAGCATTTTTCTTGGTGATTTTTCTCAACCTAAGCAAGTATGCATTCTTGTCCTCATTTGTACTCTTTCTGTCCGGCGGACCTCTGGTCTGGCATGCGCCATGTCTCTTCTCTTGCAGTGTAAAGAGCTGGCCAAGTCCAAGGCCGAGGTGGCCTGCATCGCCGTGTATGAGGCAGACGTGTTCGTGGTGGGCACCGAGCGAGGTCGCGCCTTCGTCAGCGCCCGAGCAGATCTGCAGAAAGACTTTGCAAAATACTGTAGGTGTCCTCAGTCCCGTCCCCGTCTTGCACACTTCTTACAAATATTGAGGGCATAGCAGGCGTGGTGGCTCACTCCTGTAATCCAGCACTTGGGAGGCTGAGGCAGGAGGATCGCTGCAAGTTCGAGGCCAGCCTGGCTACATAGTGAGATCCTATCTCAAAACACCAAAGGGGGAAAAAAAAAGTTTGCCAGCCAACCCTGGGCAACATGAGGTCCACGCCTCATACTCATGGTCCTGACGGACCTCCCGTGCCAGGGTCGGATTGAGGAGCTGCTGTTTCACGCGGAGAGGCAGAACAGCGGTGTCTGGGCTCCACGTTGCCCTCAGTGTCCTCTGGGCTTGTAAATAAATCTGAGGACTGTGAGGTGTCTATAATTTGTAACAAACCCACATTTTATGAAATACTCCTAAAATGGGGGAAATCGCCCAGGGCCAGCTAGGTCTAATAACCATTTGTGCCATCTACCTCCTTTCCCTCAGTTTGTTTTCTGGCACTGGGGGTTGAACCCATGGCCTTCACAGTGAGCTACATCCCCAGCCTTTTTTAATTTTTATTTTGAGATGTCTCCCTAAGTTGCTAAGTGCTCAGGCTGAGCTTGGCCTTGTGATCTTCCTGCCTCAGCCTCCCAGAGTGCTGGGATGACCGGCATGGATTGGGTGCCAGGGTCGATGTAGTTTTTACAGCTCCCCAGTTTCTCCCCAATCTCACAAAAAGGAAGCAGAGGCTATAGAAGGGTGTGCACCATGCTCAGAGAAAACGCTCACAGTTAGGGTTACAGCCTCTACCTCTGTGGCCCGTCCCCTGGGAACTGAGTTGTCAGCTTCATCCTCCTTGGGGTCAGGAAAGGAAGAAACCCCAGAGGCGTGGTAGAAGGGCTGTGGCTGGACAGGTGCGCCGTGGCCGGCAGACGAGGGTGTGCACGCATAGTTGTGCCCAGTTCTGCATAGGCTTGTCTCCCCCGGCGTGGCCTGTCTGTGCCGACCTGCACTGAGGTCGCCCCACTTTATAGCGTCCCATCTTTATTATCTTGATGTCTGTCCATCGAGGGTCTGTACTGATGTCTCCGTGTTTGTTTCTGATATTAATAATTTGTGTTTTCTTTTAATAAAGATTTTTTCTTTTTTTTTGAGACAGGCTCTCGCTGTGTAGTTTAGGCTCACTTTAAACTTTCGGCAGTCCTCCTGCCTCAGCCTCCCGAGTGCTGGGATTACAGGCGTGCACCACCATGTCCAGCCTCTCTTAATAAAGATTTATTTCTGCTCTTTATTATTTCCCTACTTGAATTTTCTTTGGGGCCTAAGTGCTCTGCTTTTCTAGCTTCTCGATGGGGTAGGGTTAGGTCACTGGATGTGTATTACATGCACTAAAGTTGCAATTTTAGCCTATCCAACAGACTCTGCCTGTCATTTAGTTCAAAATAATGTCCGACATTCCTAGTAACTCCTTTCTGACCTGTGTTTATCTAGAAGTCTGTTGTTTAATTTCCCAGTGTATGAGGATGTTTTTGGGTATTGGCTTCTGATTAAATCTCACTGTGGTCTATACAAGTGCTCCGTGTGATCTTAGTCCTTTTGAACCTATTGAGACCTAACGGTCTGGCTGAGCACTTCATTTATAGTGGCAAATATTCATATGCTCCTTTAAAATGAGATTCTGCCATTTATGGGCCAGTTACTTAGGTTTTGGTTTGTAGTCCTAGGGATAAAACCCAACGCCTTTGCCCTGAGCTATCTCCCCAGCTCTTGATAAGTCACTAGACTGCCCAGGCTGGGCTCAACCTTGGCACCCTCCTGCTTCAGCCTCCCTGAGCGCTGGGATGACAGGCGTGCACCACCATGCCCTGCATGCTTATCCCCTCTTCCCCCTTCTTCCTTTCAATACCAGGACACAGACTGCAGGGAGGGGACAGTATGGATGGATGCGGGCTGCTGACCCTTGTCCCTCTTGTGCTTGCAGGTGCCGCAGAAGGGCTGGGTGAGGAGAAGCCTCCGCGCCCGGCCAGCAGGGTGCAGGTCGGCTCTGGGGAGGTGGAGACGCTCCGGAAGGCAGTTGAAGATCACTTCGGCCTGTGCTACGGTAAAGTCCATGTCCACTGGCCTGAGGTGGACGGCACAGGCCACAGCGTGGCTACACTGGGTGTCGTGAGCTCTCAACCGTCATCCCCCCCAGAGACAGGAGCCAGTCCCCAGGGAATCTGCAGCCCACAGCATGTGCACCTCGCCCAGCTGCTGCATTCTTTTAATGTTGCCCTCAGAGCCTCTCGCCACCTGCTGTGCTTAACGGCACCGAATGAAGCTGGCACCTGGTGAGAGCCACTACCTCCTGTCCTAGGTAGAGCACTGGGGACAGCAACCGCGGTGCCCGTCCCCTATGAGCAGATGCTTCGGGACCCAGCGGCTGTGGTGGTGCGGGGACTTCCAGAGGGAGCGGCCTTGCAGCACCCTGAGAATTATGATCTCCCAACGCTCAAGCGGGTCCTGGAGCACAAAGCAGGGATTTCCTTCGTCATAAACAGGTGACCCACTCCTGCTGCCCCAGCGGGCCGTGTCGCCGTGCCTCCTTTATGCCCATGTCCCTCGTGTGTGCGTAACCACTAGTCGTCAGACGTGTGTGCAGCTGGCTGATGGGGTTGGTTTCCTTGCAGGCCTTTCCTCGGTGCGGAGAGCCAGCCAGGTAAGTGACCACTGAGTCGCCTCTTCAGTGGCTGCCCTAGGCTGCCCACCCCCACCTCCTGCCATCAGCATGCACACTGGGTGCAGCTTTGTTTGTATTTTGTCCAGTTTTGGGATTGAATCCAGGGCCTTCCCACTGAGCTACCTCTGCAGCTCTTTGTTATTATTTATTTTGAAACAAGGTCTCACTAAGTTGCTAAATTGCCCAGGCTGGGCTGGAATTTGCCATCCTCCTACCTCAGCCTCCCAGAATGCTGGGATTACAGGCCTACTGCACCATGCCCGGCTGCTTGGGCACATCTTCCACATCTTCTGCATGAGGAGGTCTCTGGCACCCAGGGCAGGGCGGTGTCCACCGGGGATTTGAGATCAGGACTCAGCCTGTTCCAGCCCCCTTGCCCAGAGCTTCCACATCCAGACCAGGGAGGACAGCAAGAGGCCTCGTATCTGTGTCACCTGAGTGCATGGGTGCCGGGTCGCTGTGTGGCCTTAGAGTCCCAGCCGGACCTGCGCCACGCATTGTTGGGTTTGGGACAGGACTTGGGCTGTGCCCCTGTGCCTGAGATTCCGGTCAGGACACAGGAGAGGGGGCCATGGTGTTCTCGGGCAGCTGAAGGAGGACGTCCCCGAGAGCTCTGGGAAGGTGGGGCAGGTTTGGTTGGCATCTCGGGGTCCTGGTTAGCGATCTGAATAAATGGAAAGACTCCCATGTTCACAAACAGGAAGTCTCCTGAGATTTGTATGGAAACTCGGGAACCCTAAACAGCCACAACAATCTTGAAAAAGAACAAAGTTAGGAGTCTCAAAAACTGGGCATGGTGGCCCATGACTGACTGTAATCCCAGCTGTTTGGGAGGCTGAGTCAGGAGGATCACTGAGTTCAGGGCCAGCCTGGGCTACGTAGCGAGGCCCCAGACACAGCTGCCCCTCACTGGTTTCCCTCCCTGCTTGTGTCCCATGATAGCTGACTGCTGGGTACTCCATCTTCTCGATATTTGTTTTCAACATGTGTGTCTTTGAATCCCGTCACGTTTCAGGGGCTGAGAGGACTGGTGTGTGTCTTTTTACTCCCCACAGGTGGCCATGGGCCAGTGACAGATGCTGAGAGGTCAATGCTATCACCAAAGGCAAGGTAAAGAATAAATCATAACCAAACTCTACATCTGAGCTGGGCAATGGTGCTGCACACCCATAATCCTAGCACTCTGGGAGGCTGAGGCAGGAGGATTGCAAGTTCAAGTCCAGTCTGGGGCTATTTAGGGAGACCCTATCCCAAAATGAAACAAACAAACAAAAAAAGGAGTGGCCAGGGAAGCAGCTCAGTTCAGCAGCCCTGGCTCACAAAGATGGATGGAGGGAGGGCAGAGAATTCCACATCTGACTGCAAAGTGATAGTTTTTAGAGTGTGGAAAAGCTCTTAACATTTAAAATACAGGGGAGACGGAAGCTAAAAGATGCAGATTTTCTGTCCGATCAGGTCCGCAGGATGAATGTATGTATTATGCATCTCAAACATATTCTAATTTTTAAAAAGGGTGGAAGTCACATTTTAAAGTACAACAGGAAGGGTTCATAGTTGGCCTTGCTTATTCTGAATAGGCTTCCTTCAGAAGGGTGCCAGGAACCAAGGGATCACAGGCAGCACAGCACCCGAGGGGCCCCTGTCGGGGCGGGGCTCGGTTCCCCCGTCCTCGTGGCCGTGCTGACCAGGGTCCCCTTGTCCTTGCAGCTGTGTCCCCATCAGTGTGAAAACTGAACCCCTGGAGGACGCAGGTAGGTGCCCTGTGCTCTTAGAACCCAGTGTTCGGCAAGCTACTGTTGAGTGCTTTCTTGCGTTTGGCTTCTTAAAATACCAGTCACATCCCGAGATGCTCACTGATGTCGCTGGGCCTCATTCACAGCATACAGGTCCAGAGTCCTTCATCCAGGGTGCTTGGAAGCAGAGTGTTTCAGCTTTGGGGTGTTGTCGAATTTTGGAGCATTCACATACACAGCGTGGGATGTTTTGGGGAGGGACCCAAGTCTAAAAGTGAAATTCATTTTTCTCTTAAACACACAGCCAGCCAGAAGGTCATTTTATGTAGCAGTTTTAGAGCACCTGTTCTTTTCTTTTTCTTTCTTTCCTTATGCCATGCTGAGTATTGAGCCCAGCGTCTTCACACCGAGCTACGTCCCAGCCCTTTTTTCATTTTGTGACAAGGTCTCGCTAAGTTGCTGAGGCTGGACTCAAATTTGCAGTCCTCCTGCCTCAGCCTCCCTGAGTGCTGGGATTTCAGGCGAGCACCCTCACACCTGGTCAGCATGTGTGTTTTGATGAGGAGTTTTCCAGTTGTGGTGTCGAGCCGGCACTGAGATGGTTTTGGATTTGGAAGCATTTTGTACTTCAGTGGAACCCTATTCCAATCAGCCATCTCGATCAGAGAGTTCTGGTGCAGGAAATACCAGTTACTACGATGTGACCGAGGAGAATCTATTTGCCGATAAAATATTACCTCAGCTGCACTTAAATGAGAGCCCAAGTCCGCAGCAAGCACAGCGTGTCCAGCCTGCATGTGGGATAATAACCGGACTTGCAGGGAGAGCAACTGCTTCCCTTCCCCGGTCACCCCCGAGGGTGACATCTGTATGCCACTGGGCCCCTCTCCCGTGAGTGCCGACAGTCGACACCCACCCCTGGCGCTTCCCGCTCCTGACAGAGGAACCAGTATGGATGGGAGGCAGAGGCCAGGAACAGAAAATGCTCTGCAGTCCCCAGAGTGCGATGTAGGGGTGGGAAAACACCAAAAGCATCAAAAGCAGGAAGTTCAGAAAACTTGAGGGGGCCGGGGATTTAGCTCAGTGCCGCCACCTGCCTCGAAAGCACAAGGTCCTGAGTTCCATCCCTGGTACCAAAAAAAAAAGAAAAGAAAACTTAAGCAGGGGTCTAAAGCCAGACTCCCAAAGAGCAGGGAGCCTAGGGCTCTGCGGAAGAGCCCTCGGCTGCACAATTGAGGGCCTGGATGCCCCTGAAAACAACAAAAACAAAAAGACAAAAACCAGCACGGGCTACCCCAACACCGCCATGTGTGTTTACGGTATCTTACGGTAAAAGACACATGCGGGAGTCCCCCTTAAGACACTTCCCCTGACTTCCAACGCCCTTTCTGAAGTTCTCGCTAAGACCCTGTCACAAAACGCAAAAGGGCCGGGAAGTGCTGGGTGCGAAGGCCGTGGGTCCGTCCCATCAGTGAGCCAAGTCAGTGCTGCGCGTACCCAACGACTTCGGTTTGGCTTCCGTTCCCTCTGTGGTGCTAGGGCTCGAAGCGTCTCCTGTTACAGAGCCAGGTGCCCAGCACATCATCCTCAGTGATCTTGGAAGAGAATGTTTCCCCGAAACAGGCCCCAAACCGGGAACCCAGTGCCCCTGGGTTATCAGACTGAGGGTCAGGGCGCAGCTGTCCCCAGACTCTGGGACACCAGGAGGAGCAGGAGTCAGGCGCACTGAGTGTGTGACAGGCGTCTGGCTCCACCGGGGACTTGGTGGCCAGGACGGGGTCAGCAGTGGTGCTGAGGCTGCCGCAGGCCAGGGCCGAGCACCTCCACTTCTGTGCATACTGGGGACTTGGGCGGTGGGTGACGTTTACCTGTTGGGTTCCTGATGTCCTGCCGCGTCTGTCCCTGCTCTGTGTGGCTTCTCAATTTTTCCCCCCATGGCTTTCTGCCCTCTACTGGTCTTGCTCCATCTCCTGCCTCTCTCTCCGTCCTTTTGTTCATTCCCCTGTGCTCCTGTTTTCCCTTCATATTGAGCCAATGTTATTCCAGACTTTATATATATGGGTACGTAAGTACGTATTTATATTTTAAGTATCATAAATACACAAGACATCTCTATGCTTCCTGTTGCCCTTATTTATCTGATAAAGCGAAGGTGCGACAGTGGCTGCCCTGAGGTCTCTCGCTGCTGTCCCCACACGACCCAGGGTATCCCTGCGCGAGCTGTTTGTGCCCGGTGGGTCTGGCCGGCCCCTGAGTGTGCCATTTCTGTGTGTCCAAAGGCATCTCACTGAAGGCAGAAGCTGTGACCGTCAAGAAAGAAGCAGAAGACCCTAATTACTATCACTGTGCAATGCCAGGTAACTCTGTTTTCGAGCCACTCTCTCTAAACATTACTCATGATGGAAAATCTAATAACCACCCAATGGCAGAGAGGAATAAAGATCTGCCTGAGCCTGCGACCCGGGCCTAGCACACTGTCATTCACGGTGACAACATCAGAGTTCTGTGACAGATGCCATTAGGCCCAGATCCATATGCGGTGTGTGGAGATACTGCAGGGATGATTTTACTTGGGTTTATTTCTCTTCTCTTGTGTGTTCCACGGCTTCTCACCTAATCCACCCATGTTCAGGCTGCCGTGTCAGTGGGACAATGTTAGCGACACGACAGTTAAGAAATTCAAATCAAATACATCCCGATGCCGTGATGCACACCTGTCATCCCTGCACTCAGGGAGGCTGAGGCAGGAAGATCACAGGTTCAAGCACAGCCTGGGCAATTTAGTGACTCAGTGAGACCCTGTTTCGTTATAAAAAAATTTCTTAAGTGGAAGGCATGTAGCTCGGTGCAAAAACCCTACATTCAATCCCCAATACCAAAAAGAAAAGTTAAGATTTATGCAGATTCTACTCCCAAAGGTAGCAGTTAAAGAATGAAATGATTAGGTATATTTACCTACAATCATTCTACTTTAGTTTCTAAGAGAAAATTACACACGAGGTGGGGCTGGGACATAGCTCAGTGGTCAAGCATTTACCCGGCGTGTATGAACCCCAGGCTCGATCCCCAGCACTGCAAAATGAATCAATAATCAAAAAAATAGACAAAAGTCATGTACATGAGGAAGTGGGACAAATAGGTAATGTCCACTAAAAACAGAAAGGGCTGGGGATGGAGTTCCACAACAGCATCACCAATACGCAGGCTCCATCCCCAGCCCAGCACCAATGAAAAGGGGGAGTGGGAAGGGAAGGGAGGATGGACACAGGCTAGGTGGAGAACACAGCGTCTTTCTCCCGCGCAGTGTGGGAATGACGGAGCTACCTGAAGTATGTTCTTTGTAACATTCATGACCTGGGACAACTTCCTTCTTGACGCCAAAAGGCATGGACTGCTCTGACATCATGGAAAGGGTTCCAGAGCATTGAGGTGTTTAGAAAATATTTAAATACACCATGCCAGGTGTAGTGGTACAGCACCATAATCCCAGCACTTGGGAGGCTGAGGCAGGAGGATTACCATTGAGTTCAAGGCCAGCCTGGGCTACACAGTGAGACCCTGTCTCAAAAAGAAAAACAAAAAAATCTGCAGGATGATGGAGCCACAAGGGCCTCTGCATCAGGAGGGCCCTGGGCTGACCTCCCTTCCCATACACCACACACAGCAGACAGTACCCCGTGTGCAGTGGGGCAAGTCGCAGGTATCTGCCTTCCCCACACATGTGTATGCCTGTGAGGACCTACGCCTCCGTTATTATGCATAGCAGAAGTTTTCTTATTTACCATTGTGATCAAAATATATAGTGAATGTTTAAACTTCAAATTTTATTACAGTAAAAGACACACTGCCATGAATTCCCCTCAGAACCCTCCCCTGAGGAGAAAAACCATAATACAAAATGGGAGACTCTCCATTAAATATTCATGAACAGGGTATGAATATTAAAGGATGAGAATTTCTGATACCCCAAGAAACAAACCAAAAAATCCCTCCCCCCTGCTTCAGACACACTCATCCCGTCATTCTTGCCACTTTCTGAAACGGCTCTAGAGTCCTCTGAGTGTCTTTGTGAGACGGGGTCAAAAATACAATGAACACTGCTGCCCGGTGCCACAGAACAGAAAAGGAAGCCATGAAAACCTGACACTGTGTCCTCCTCCACCGTATTCACCGGATCTGCCGCTGTTAGACCTCTGACTCTTCCCAAAGTCAAAGTGACCATGAAAAGAAGCTTTGAATCACTTCAAGACATCAGGGAAGCCACAACAGCACAAGTAAAGACCCTCCTGAAAGAGGGCATGCAGAGCTGCTGCAGAAAGCGGCAAGATGGTGGGATGAGTATCCCACGCCGAGGGGAGGATTTTGAGGGTGGTTCACGGCAATCTGTCTTTTACTGTAATAATTTGGGGGGTAGCAAGGATCAAACTTGAGTCCTTGCACTTGCAAGGCAGGCTGTAGAACCACTGAGCTAAATACCTAGCCCTACCGTAATAATTTTTAAAATCTGAATATTTGCTATCGTTTTCTTTTTTCTTTTCTTTTCTTTTTTTTTTTTTTTGTACTGGGAGTCAAACTCAGGACCTCTCACTTGTGAGGCAGGTGCAGTGCCACTGAGCTAAATCCCTGGCCCCTCACCGTGGTTTTTCAATCACACTTTGTCATTATTGAACTTGGGCTTGTTGTGTTTGGGTTTTTTGTTTGTTTGTTTGTTTTTTGTCTTTTTGTTTTCTTCCCAGTACCAGGGATCAAACTCAGGACCTTGCACTTGTGAGGAAGGTGCAGTGCCACTGAGCTACATCCCCAGCCCTGTTGTGTTATTTTGTAAAATAATTTTCATTTTGATATAGGAATTTTAGAACCAGTTTAAAAATTTCCAAAAGTATGATCATTTTTTTTGGTATATTTGTAGTTGCAACTCTATTTTCAGTCAACATAAGTATCTTACCTGTGAACTTTCAAAGGGGATCCATAGAGTTGGCAGTTAGATATTCAACTCATAGACAAATCTGATCATACGTCTTTGTAAGACTCTAAAATACCCCTCACTTCACAATCACACCTCACGTGTGTGCTTGCTTCTTTCTCTCAGCAGCAGTATGTACATTTGGGAACAAGTATTTTCAGGAGTGAAGTTTATGAACGGTAAAATTAGATCAAAAGCTAATGAGCACCCAAAAACTCACTAAGTATTGGTTCCATTGAACCAGACGCTGGTCACAAAAACAAGGTCAAATATCCCAATAGTTTAGCGTCTCTCTTGTCCTCTTTTTTTTAATGTTATAATAAAAACATGGAAAATAAGGGGAAATTTATTGTTTACATATATGAACTACAGCATGTTTTGGCAGTTCCTTTCCACACCGTGTGCCCCAAGTCAAAAGGCTGGAGACCCCACTCAGAGCCAGCATCACACCTAACGGGAGTGGAAAAACTTCCCCTAAGATCAGGTGAGACAAGGCTCTCTCTTCCTGCCACTTCCATATTGCTCTGGAAGTTCTAGCCAGGGAAGTTCAGAGAGGAAAAAAAATCTCAATTGGAGAAGAAAGAAACCTCTCTGTTTGCAAACGATGTGACCCTGTACCAAGAAACCCTAAGGAACATACACTGAAAAGATCAAGTAAATGAGTCTAGTGAAGTTGCAGGGTGCAAGATTGTATAAAAATAGCAATTTTATGTATTTATTTTTGTTCTGGGAATTGAATCCAGGGCTCACACATGCTGACTGTGTGCTGTATCACTGAGCTACATTCCCAGCCCTAATTTTGTTGTTGTTTTGCTGTTTTGAGATGGGGTCTCACTGTGTAGTGCAGGCTGGCTCTGAACTCACTCTGTAGCCCAGGCTGGCCTAGAACTCATAGTGACCTTCTTGCCTCAGCCTCCTAAGTGCTGGGATTACAGTATGTGCCAACGTACTTAGCCCCAGCCCTAATTTTATTTCTATAATGTTACCAATGAATCACCTAAAAACTCCATATATGAGAGCATCAAAAAGAGTAAAATACTTAGGATTAAATTTAACCAAAAAGTATAAGACCTATTCTCTGAAATCTGTAGTTGTCAAAAGAAAGAAAAAGGGATCTGAATGAATGAAAGGACTTCTTGCCGGGTGTGGTGGTGCATGCCTGTAATTGGGAGGCTGAGGCAGGAGGAACGTGGTGACTTCAAGACCAGACTGGGCTACATAGTGAGTCCAGGTCAGTCTCAACTACATAGTGAGACCCTGTCTCAAAAAAAAGGACTTCTTGTGTTCATGGATTGGAACTTTCCTGAGATTTGTATGCAAATAAAAGGACCTTGCGTAGTCAACCTTGAAATAGAACGAAGTTGGAAGACTCACACTTCCTGACTTCAACTACAAGCCCGGAGTGCAGTGCACACCCACATTCTCACCACTCTGGGAGGCTGAGGCAAGAGGGCCCTAAGTTTGAGCCCAGCTGAGCAATTTAGTATCTTGGTGAGAGCCGGTCTTAAAAAGAAAAAAAAGTTGTAAAAAGGCCAATGCTGATGCTTTGGGTTCAACCCTTAGTGCCACCAAAAAAAATAAAACAAACAAAAAAACCTCACCATAAAGCTACATTAAGCAACACTGACAGACATACGAGCCACTGAAATAGAATTGAGACTCCTGAAATAAAACCTGTAAGTTTACAGCCAGTTCAGCAGGTACTAAGACAAGTGGATGAGGAAAGAACCATTTTTTTCAGAAAATATTAGGGCAGCAATATCTGCTCGCAAAACCATAAATCTGGACCCCCTACCTCATACCACATACTAAAATCAAGATGATCAGACTTAGTGTGCTAAGAGCTAAACACACAAAAGTGGTTTTTTGTTTGTTTGTTTTTACTGAGGACCTTGTGCTTGCCAGTCAGGTGCAGCACTGCTAAACCACATCCCCAACCCTAAACCACAAAACGCTTGAAAGGAAGTGTACATGTTACTCTTCAAGACCCTGGGTTAGGCAACAGTTTCTTAGATCTGACATGGAAAGCACAAGCAACCGAAACAAAAAAATAGATGAACTGCACTTCATCAGAACTAAACACTTGCCAATTGTGGTGGTGTGTGCCTCAAATCCCAGCACTCTGGGAGGCTGAGGCAAGAGGCTCACAAGTCCAAGCCCTACCTGCGCCCAGGCAATTTTAGAGAAACCCTGTTGGAAAAATAAATAAGGGCTTGGAACATAGCTCAGTGTGAAGGGCCTGTATTCCATGCCCAGTATAGGAGGGAAATAAGAGCTTGCTGGTGTGAGGTGTGATAGCACACACCTGTAATCTCAGGACTTTGGAGGCTGAGGCAGGAGGATCACCTGGGCTACATAGTGAGACTCAACAAAGTAGAGCTTGCTGGTGCCAAT